CATTTATAGATTAATTCTTTCGTTTCAGGGTTTTAGTAGGACTAATCGAGGAACGAATTATTGATTTCATAATTACTTATTAAAGTATAACATTAATTATAACAAGGATATGCATTAATAAGACGTGATCGTGCAAGCGAATTTGTCATTTGAATTATGCTCAGACCTCCACAGTTTAAAATAAGCTAACAGTCAGTTAAACCTTAGCATAAGATAACACACACACAGCTTTATAACAGGCTATAAAATGCACAGTTAATCACTTAGGCCTATTAAAACATTTTTTTAAAAACTGTACTGAAAGAAAAAAGCACAAGAAAGAAAGTCGCTTTGAAATAGAAACTTATTTTATTAACGTGCTTTAATTTTAGGCAGTTATTTAAGATTTTTTTAGTAACAAAAAATAGAGTAAGCCTGCTAGAAAAATTTTAATGTCGCACAGATCTGACCTGTATTGGTTTACCGGCGAGCGTGAGCGTAATGTTACGGAGCGCTTGCATTGGGTGGTTCGCAAGACTATGGAGTAATGCTTAGCGGAGCGTCACACCTCTCTGCTTCTACTTTCATGCCTCTGGCTGTTACAGTGTATCAGTTCAGCATGTTCACTACGTTACACAACTGCCCCCTGCTGGTCATGTCTTTCTTGTACTGTACCATGTTGTGCTTTGTCATGCATTAGTAAGGTGCGACACCACTTTAGATCACTCGCGCATTCTTAGGCCCCGTTTACACTAGTGCGTTTTAGTTTTAAAACGGCGTTGTAGAATGAAAACGATCCGCGTCCACACTCGCGTTTTACCCAGCGTTTCTGAACAGCTCTCAGTCCACACCAAAACGCTGAAAACGCACATCACGTGACCACACACACACTCTCGAGCAAGCGCTCCAGCATTTCTACCCAGATGAGAGCTCTGCTTGTCGGACTGCTCATCAAGCATCTCCCGCTGCATCTAATCTCACTATATTTGCTAAACGTGATATTTTATTCATGTTGTTGTCTTTATCTAACGACATAGGCCAATTCCCTGACTTTGGTCATTGGAATCTATTAAGTTACTTGTTCACGGGTAACATGTTTTGGTTAAGCGCAAAGACAAGTTAATGATTAATCCAGGTACATTGACTGATCGCTTGCCTTTATTTCCCACAATGTATAAACTTATTGTATGTTATACTTTTATAATTATCGATTATTAAAACTGATATTCAGCAAAAGAGAGGGTGCGTTTCGTATTTTCACTGAAATTGAAAGGAGGCAGTTGTTATTGGCTCCGTTTTGTTATAAATATCCACACAGTGAAGATGACGCTCATATATGCAGCACGACGCCTCAACATTTCTGCTGTCTGTTAAGTTGCTAATATTAAAAAGAAAATAGGCAGTTCCTTATATCAAGTTTACATTTTATTGTTGAGAAAGTGAAACAACGTAGCCAAGGTGATGTGAATGAAGTTATAAAGTACACTGTTCCCTGTGAAGATTTACCCATGTCCTCGGTAAGTTTTCCATATCAAACTGAGAAGGGGGAGACTGCAGCCTTGATCAAACTTGCGAAGTCTTAACTTACAAGAAGAGGATGCGAGACTGAACTGTGTGTAGGCTACTTAATATTGAGGAAAAGCCCCAATCAGATAGGCGAACGTTTGAAGCCCCGCCTCCGTTTTCAGATGTCTCCGTCTTTCCCCATCCACACTGAGACGGAGCAGCAGCGTTTCAGAATGAAAACGGCCTTTCCAGCGTTTTCAAAAAGCTCCGTTTTCGGCGCTCGAGAACTCCGGCGTAGTGTGGACGGATGGCGTAACCGTAGCAAAACTTATGGGTTTTCAAACTAAAACGCATTAGTGTAAACGGGGCCTAAAGAGAATCTAAAAATATAAATGTTATATTGTGTGCATTACTGACATTTCTGTACACTAATAACCATATCTATTGCAGTATGCCCAAGGTTTCATTAAAAGGGCACCATGTTTAATATTCATAAAATATATAAAAGAATAAATGCATGAAATGAAATAAATGGACCACTTTTAATCTATGGAATTGGTATTTTTAGTGTTTAACGTTCACCCTTTTTCCTGAATCTTATCAGCTATGGTTTTGATATTACAATCTCATAATTTATGGCTTATCAATGCATGCAATGTGTATTCCAAGGACAGTCAGACTAGACAGAAGTAAAACAGAGTCATCCACGATTTTATGATGAGATGTTGTACAACAGCAGAACCACCCTCTCAGATATCAACAACACTGAAGATGTGCGCAGAGAAGATATTCCTCCAAAAAAATTAATCACACCCATCATTTAGCACTCACAGAGAAGTCAATCTATTTAGATCACAACAGGAAAAACCCTTCCTAGGCATGACAAAGTGGCCTTAAGCCCAAGCAAACAGTCCTTCTGAATGGAGAATATACAGTAGAGTTACTGTATTAATCTAATTTGACATAGTTTTAGTATGAGTTGTGTGGGCAAATGTAAAATGACTGTATTGTATTGGAGAATTGAATAGTCAAGTGTTAATTGGTCATAAAACTTGCTTGTACAGGTAGTATTTGTAGATTGTTGAGTGAATGGTCGTAGCATTGATGTAGTAAATTTGGCCTACCTTTGGATCTTTCAGGCTGAAGCCACACATGTAGTCATTTATCAAGCTGAAAGCAAATCCTCGATTCATAAACGTCAGGCAGCGCTGTTTATGGTAGAAAGTTTCAGTCAGGACAACATAATGCCATAGAATTGCATGAAAGTACATAGGTAAAATTAAAATAAAACAAATTCAAATGAAAATGTCAAATAATATAAAATACAAACATTAAAACAAAAATAACATTTTAAAATAAAATAAATTCAAATAAAAATGTCAAATAATCTAAAATACAAAAATTAGGACCAAAAAATAAAAAAAAATAATAAAAAAATAATGTCAAATAAAATTAAATACAAAAATTTAAAATAAAATAAAATAAAATAATAAAATAAATTCAAATAAATAAATTCAAAAAGAAATGTCAAAAAATATTAAATACAAAAGTTAAAACAAAAATAAATTTATAAAATAAAATTCAAATAAAATAAATTAAATAAAAAATTCAAATAATATAAAACACTGAAATTCAAACAAAAATAAAACGATAAAATAAAAAATAAAAAATGACAAAAAAAGAATTGTCAAAAATTAAAAAATATATATATTAAAATAATCAAATTGGTCTCAAATAAAACAAAACAAAATGCACTAATAATATGTCAACAAAATAACATAAAATGATTTACAAATATATTACAGTAAATGTACATAAAGAATGAAGCAAAAATGCACTATAAATAACTTTAAACTACTTTTAAACACTTTTACCTCACTTTTTAACTTTAAACATTAATATACTATCCATAATTAAAGATTCATAACTGCTACTGTAGCAACTGCAGGAAGCAGAAAACGATAAACACAAGTAACACCTTATTTTCAGATGCAACCCATTACATGAACATTTGCATAATTGCTATGTAATATCCCTGAACCAATCCCTTAAACCAACCCTAACCTTAAAATAAGTATTTACAATGTCCTTGATTTATGCTGTGATAAGGAAGCCTTAATAATAAAACATAACTTTAAATCCACTTACAAGCCTGAAACACACTTTAATAGATCAACTATTAGCTTCAGCAAAAGGTGAATTGTTAATATTAGTACTTTTTTACCATAAAAAAAAAATGTGAATCATCAACCTCAACCTCACACGTATCATTTGAGTGTAGTTATTAATGTGAATGGCATCTGAAAGATGATTAAATGTGAAAGTTCAACAGGAGTTAAAATACTTCACATATCAGTCTGACATTCATTAGCAAATTCTATTAAAAATAAAAACATGAGATAATGAAGGTAAACTATTTAAATATGTCTTGAATCCAAACCAGATTCCAGTGAAGCATTCAAGAGCAATAGACATTTTACATTTACATTGACATGGTAAACTATGAGCTTCCATTTCATTGTCAATGAGGCAGATGGAAAAAAACAAGGGCGGTGCCCAGCGTTCCACTAACTATTCTGCCCTTCTATCATGCGAGACTTCAAGTGGCACAAACCACACAAGATGCTTTCACGGCTAAGGCACTGATCAATCAGAGATCATGATAAGATTTTCAAATCAGTGAATCTGCAATCAGTCAATTTAACTTATGCAAAAACACGGGGGAAAAATCTGAATTTTCCAGAGCATACACAGAATAGGCATGACATTATGATAATTCCCAGACTATACAGTAGCAATGAGTGCGCCTGAGAACCAAATTGTTACACTTGTGGCATTTACAGGGTAGCATATACTCTCAGGGGGCAGGATTTCACTGTTAGAATGGAAAGAACTGCAGATTTATAAGAGTTTGATGAAAAGGCAAACTGTGTAGCTGGACCACCATCTCTGATCTACTGGGTTGTTCCTTGAATATATAAAAGGTGGTGCAGGGATGGCCAAATAATGAGATGCAAGTAGATAACAAGTAGACTATTTAGCATTGATCACAGCAACTGCAGGTCCACAGTGCAACAAATAACAAGCAGATACAACAGTGGTGACCAGGGCAATGTGTCACAACACACAGTTCATTACAGACTTCTGTGTAAAAGTCTAATCATTTTATTTCACAGTGCTCAGCATACAGTACACCCCTCACAGGTCTCTCTTTTAAGTTTATATTTTCTATAGGACGCTTTACAATAATATATTTGTGTATATAAATTAGATTAGTTAGTAGTTAATGCAAAACTGGAAATAAAAAAAGAAACTTTAGATCACAGTCCAAAAATTTGTAAACCCAAATGAACATGTTGGGGGAAACATTAAATCAAAAGAAACATACGAAATATTAAAGTTAGTTGAAATTCTGTAGTTTGCATCATTCATTCATTCATTTTCTTTTCGGTTTAGTCCTATAATCTGGGGTCGCCACATGTTTGAACCTCCAACTTATCCAGCATATGTTTTACACAGCAGATGCACTTCCAGCTGCAACCCTTCACTGGGAAACACCCACAGACACTCATTCACACACATACTGTACACTATAGACAATTTAGCCTACCCAATTCACCTATAGCGCATGTCTTTGGATTTGTGAGGGAAACTGGAACACCCGGAGGAAACCCATGCGAACACGGGGAGAACATGCAAACTCCACACAGAAACGCCAACTGACCCAGCTGAGGCTCGAACCAGTGACCTTCTTGCTGTGTGGCAACAGCACTATCCACTGTGTTAAGCAGGTTGATATTCCACAAAAGAAATTTACAAAAAGAGTTGTAATAAATAAACTTGAATACTCTAGAAATGAAAACTACTTTACCATTTTTCTTTTATTTGGACCTTGTTAAATATATGCGCAATATTAGATTCTTGCTGATATTTTCAAACTCTTTTTGGTAAAGCCGATGCCGATTTATTTTCAGTGTTAATTTATAGATTAATTTAAAGAGTGAGTTTTCAGATTTTTATTCTCTTTGCAAAGTTTTGTTCAAGGCAAATGTTTATCAGGATACTTTGAAAAAAGAGAATGTTCAAAAAACAGCATTTATTTGAAATATTACTATTGTGTACCATCATAAACGTATTGGTGCTTTTTTTTGTTCACCAGTGCCTAAAGTAATAATTTCTTATTAATTAATTATAAACTCAAATTAGAGCTGCACGACATTGAAAAAAAAATCCTTATATTGCAATGTTTTTTTTTTTCTGCGATAAATGTTTGCGATATGTATACAGTTTCACAAAATGTAAACATCATTTGACAAGCAAACAGTCTACAGTTTGACAAGATGGTTTGATTTGACGGTCTTATGACCAGAATAATAACAATGCAAAAACAAAAAATGTCTCATTTCTAGTCCAAGTATCTAAAAATCCTTTAGATCAAGTGAAAATGTGTTGTTTTGTATTCATCTTCAGAAGAAGTAAGTCAAAATTAGGAGTTTTTCCTTAAAACAAGCTGAATTATCTACCAATAGGGTAAAATAATCATATTTTCACTTTGAAATGTAGATATTTGGACTAGAAACAGGACAAAAATTACAAGTTATTGAGCATAAATCTTATAAATAATTTAATAAAATTAATCTTTGTTACACCCCCAAAACATACTTTTTTGTGCCCAAATTCTCTTGAAAGTCCTAGTCAAAGGCCTTAAAAACACATGCAAATGAAAAAAAAAATTTCACTCTGTTATGTTTAAACTTAGCAGTGACTCTACAAACCACATGTGTTCTGTGGCTCCTGATCAACTATCATTCAGACTCAACATTGCCGATAATGCGATATGACTATTGCAGATGCACATTGTGATTTCCATGATGAAACAACATATTGTGCACACCTAACTCAAATGATTGTTTTTAATGATTAAATGATTTCCTGAGGTGAAATAAGCCACTATCCATAGCAAATATTCATTTTTGGGGCCAATTATCCCATTAACACAGCAAAAGTGGTACTACTAGTAGGTTTATTATTTTTTTTAGCCCATTTTGTGTGGCATATCTACATATTTTATTACTATAAATATAAAATAACTACAAATGTAAACAGTTCATTAACCAAGAGTTTGAAGTGACATTTAGAATGACAACCTAAAAAGCACACCGTGTGAAAGTCCCTAACTGTAGCACTAGTGAATGTTAGGCTCTGTCTTAAAATTTAGTGTAAGGCCTGACCTTAATGAAGCAGGCCAGGCTGAAGTTGACACAGCGAGCCTCCTCTGGAATCTCCACATAGCGGATAGTGATGTGTGGCATTATGGACAACAGCAGACACTGCAGGGCCTGCTGGAAAGACTCTGGAAACCTCTGTGCTCGTGGCATCTGTAGGTCAAGCAGGTTCACTTCATTAGCCATCACATATCAATGGCATTAACACCACGTAGTTTCACTAGTGACAGTAAATTACTTTCAGCTCAATTATATGCAACTTACGGTTAAATTTCAGCTTTCAATATGACCGTCTATGCCAAAACACATAGACTAATTTTAGGCTTGTGATCATAATTGACTGAGGTGAGAGCATGTTTGAACATCAGATACACACCGACTTCTAAACAACATGATTAAGACATGGTTTCTGTTATGCAAATGAGACTGGTGGCATGTTTTAATATGTCTGAACATGTTTGAAAAGCGCTGAAGGAAAGCTGAAGCTGGTAAACAAACATCACACATGCAAAAGGCAACCCTGTGTCAACAGTAGAGTGACGCTACAGTGTTTGGTGTTTATAAGGGCGTGTTTTTCTTTTTTTTTTTTTACCTTTGATCATTCACTTTATGAAGAATGAGGAAGTCAAACCACATTCTATGCTCAAATGCCAAAAGATAAATAAATAAAAATAAAACTTGGCAGCTTAGGGATATTTACACCCAGCTGCTTTGTGTTTAATTATTTAATCTTTTTACTGATGATAATGATGATGAGGAAAAGCAAGTGGAAGGTAAAAATAAGACTTACTTTCATTCTGTTGCCATCCATGAGGTATTGAGCCATTGACCTGGCCATGGTCTCAAAGAAGAACCAGGAATACTGTATAGCAGGAAAAATTCATTAACACAGTGGCAATAAGGAATGTTGTAATGCAAATTTTATATATACAGTGACAAAAACAAAAATCATTACACATTAGCAAAAAGTTAAAATTTTTTTTACAATGATTATTAATCCTAAATCAAACCAGCGACCTTCTTGCGGTGAGGTGACATTGCTACCCACTGCGCCACTGTGTGGCTCATAGAATTTTATAACATCCCAAATTAATCATTATACTAACGTTTACCATATATAATCATGGAAATTTTGTAAATGTGTGCTACTCCAAACAACATATAAATATACACTGCCACTACCACAACTAAAGCAAAACAATACAGTAATTCAACCACACTATAATATAATCTCTGAAACCAGGCACAGTCAAATGAGTAGTCAGTAACCATAATGTGTAAAAGCAACATCCCTAAAATTCAGTACTAAAAGCAGCCCTGAGCAAAAAAATATTGAGGAAGCTCCTTGAACATGCTAAGACCACGTGAGAGAAAGTGGGTATAATGAATGAAATATACAGAGTACTAAAGCATAATAAAGTAAACTGGTTCTTGTGTATGTATGATGATGATGATCGTTCCTTGGAAACCACCCCCCATTTCCAAATAATTTACTCCGACATTAATCCTCTTCAGTGACTCAAGAGAGCAGAAAATAGCCTAACAGCGCCATCTGCTGTGTATAGATAGAGAGTAATGCATGATTTGGTCACCTTGAGAAGTTTGTTGCAGGTGTTGATATCAGCGGTTTGTTTGAGGATGACAGTCACAGCCGTAGCCAAAACTTCATGTGTTGTCACAGAGTTTTCGGAAGTTGCGTTGTTGATACGAAACACATACTGCAAAGGAAACGTTGCTTTTGTTTGTAAAAAATTCATTAAAGGTTTTTAAAACACTTGTAACAAAATCTAGCAATGCTGTATAAATAACATAATGCAGTGTCCATCTAAAGTTGTGAACTTATATGAAACATTTGAAAAGCTTTTAGGATGCTGCTTAAAAATATCGGTCTACAAGTTAGTTCAGTAACACAATCACATGCTCTGTTGAGGCTAAATTTCATGGGTTTTTGTAGTTGTTGAGCATCAAATATTAATGTGATAAATGTGACTCCAGTTCCATGCATTAGTTCTTATTAAAAAAACAAACATCTGCCTTAAACTTTGCACATAACATAACACACAACTATGCTCAGTATACATTTTGCAAATGAATATTTTATCCATTTCTCAGTGAATATAGGCAATATATTTTGGTATATTTGAACTAAACAAGTTTATTAAACACAGATAGTCACTAAATATTTTCAGAAATAAAGAAATAATACATTTAAAATCCAACAAACTACAAAATCTCAACTAAATTGTATATATTTCATTTTTTTATGATTTCTTATTTTTTCAATATTTTTATCCAATGTTTTTTCCCATATTCTTCAAAGTGCTTTTCCAAAGTTTAACAAATAAATTTGGGTGTACTAACTTTTGGACTGTTATCGTAAGATATTTAGTTAGATATGCTCCAGATTTGCCTTCAGTACTGACTAGTCTTATGTATAAGTACAAATACAATATTGTATAGCTTCCTATAGAAAAAATGTATTTAAAATATAGACTTGTTAGGGATGTACTCATATATGCTGAGCACTGTATATAATGAAGAACAAAACCTAGAGCAAATGACACAGTAATTTAACGTTTTAACAAAAAAAAGTATAGTGCAATAACATAGTGACACCGCAATCTGCTGTTCATGCACTTGTTGCAATAAACAAATAAAAATAACTACAAAATAATTATTGTAATTTTTGACATTGATATTTTTCATGTTTTTTTTTTATCTAAACTCTACAAACCTGACTTTTTTAATTGTGGTCGAGTGCAATCTGTGTAAAAAAAAACATAGAAACATGAGGTTTAATAAGAGTCGTACCTTCAAAAAAGAGCGCAGGTAATGCTCCAGACCCTCTTCATGACACTGAGACACAATGTGAATGATTACACTGTGAGAAAAAACAAGACATCAGTAATGTCAACGGGAGGAAACATTTCGATCATTTACATCATTTTACAAAAACACAACAAATAAAGAATGATATAAAAAAGGATTAATGTCTAAAACCTTAAAAGGTGATGTATGTAAGAACTATTTTAAAGTAGGATATCTTATAATACTGTAAAAAATGTCAGAATAATCTTAAGAAGATGTATCTTTATATGCAAGAGTGCAGTAAGTGTATTGAGTCATTTGCAAATGTGGAGAATGTGCTTTATTTGTATTTCTCCACTAGGTGGAACTAGTGCTTACAAGGCAGAACCTGCATTCGTTACATCACTTTTTAACAAATTAATAGACCAGTTTTTTTTTTGCATCAGTGTTGCCATCTTAGCGCCTTTTCAGACCCCCTTAGCAACAAATTTTCAAAAAAGCAACTAGCAACAAATCTAGTGACTTTTTTTTGGTGTTTTTTATAGACTCTTATGTGTTACTGTACCGTACTGTTAATTTAATTGTTTATTCTTTTCTAGTTCATAATCACAGATATTTTAGAGACAGTTTTGGAACTTGTCTGAGCTTATTATGTCTGAGAAATTACTGCAAATTCACTACACATGATGTACTGTATCATGATGTACTGTATTCAAACATATAGCATATACATATAGCAATAAATGTAGTTAAGTGGATATGCATACATAAAGTGTAGTTCAAATATAAACACCCCTTTATTAACCATAAGCTGTTAAACAAACAAAAACAGTTGGACGTGATGATGTCAGTATTATGCAAATTGCCATATGACGTAATCTAGTAACATTTAGAAACTTTTCGGGAAGAGCTTAGCATCTTTTTATTAAGAAAATAATTGGCAACACTGGTTTGCATGCAGAATTGTCACATTTAATGAATTAGGTAGTAATATCACCGTGTGGAGTTGACGGCAACATCTTGACCCTCTTTGCTTGCCATACTAAGGACTTCAAAGAGTTGAACGAGAACCGTAGGAAGAAACTTGATGACAACCTGAGTCTCAACCGCATGCAGGCACTTGGAGACAAAGGAAGAAAATACAAAACATTTTGAAACGCACTGACTACCATTGGGGTGAGCATTACTTTTCTAAAATTAAATCAATACTTTTGTTCAGGGAAGATACACTTTAATATCAAAGCTCATATAAATTATAACATTTAATAATAATAATAAAATTCTAGTTTTTCTGCTTTCTATTAATCAAGCTTTGTGTAAAAACGTGTACCAAATCTATAAAACAACTCTTTTCAACGATTATGATAATAAATGCTTCTTTTAAGCACATAATTAGCATATTAAAATAAGTTGACCTAAATAAAGGAATGGCTGCTTAAATTCAGCCTTGCATCACAGCAATAAATGACATTTTTAAGACATATTCAAATAGCAAAAGATTCAATTAGAAGGTATGTTAAATGCATCGGTCAAAAATATTAACAAAATTCTTATATTACATTTTTTTTAACCAGCAATATATATTTATTCCCAATATGTGCTAAATATAAAGAGGTTCAACATATTTTTACAAAATAAAATGGTTTGAAATGTGCGAATATTATGTGCACTTTAACACACACACACACGCGTGTGCCTGTTAAGGTGCATATTGTGCGTGAAGTAAATTAAGTGATGATATCTGCATCATCCCTGATTGACAGATGTGTAATTCTGACCTTTAGATATTTGATGAGTTCAGCAGGATTGCCCTGTGATGTTGATCTCATCAGCTGACAGTGCTGGAAGAAATTGTGAAGGTGCAAATCCTGGAGGAGGTGAGAGATTTAATGCTTTATTTTACATTATACAGGATTCTTTTCTGTTCAGTAGAATGACAAGTCAGCTAAACAGTTATTAGATTGAGTGATACCTGAGTGTAAATTGTTGATGCTACATACGCCCGCACTTTAAATAAAGGTTTGGCGTTATCCACCCATTTGATGTATGGAAAAACCTGAAAAAACAAACACAAATTGACTATATCAAATCAATCAGACAAACTAGTGAAATGATCAATAAGCTAAGCAACCAGCACTTGTTTTAAAAATTAGCGATAGTGTTGCTGAAAGGAAGGTGTAACCTTTTTTATGTCTTGGCTTTTGTCACACAAGTAACCAGCGAGCAGATTGGCAGAAACAGGGAGCTGCAGATCCGAGGACTTTATTCTGCCATCCTTTAATAATGGAGTCCAGGAGTAACCCACTGTGGGGAAAAAAGTTTAAAGGAGATTATTATGTTTAGGACTTTCTTTGGGTTTTGATTTATTTGCGCTTGAAATAAATAAATAAAATAGATTCTGCAAAGTTAAATAGCACAAAGACGCAATTTATGAACTGCCCTAATTGCCTTGACTGTATTACTGAGTTTTCAGTTTTTAGTAATCATTGTAATAATTTCTAAACAATTACATAATTCCAGACCAGCATTGTTTTCACAGCGTGTTGTCTTCACATTCAAGAGATTAGATTTCACAGAGCTAATTTAATGATACATATGACATTTCTTTCCTAACTGTGCATTTACAGAAATAATTTACATTATATGAACTTGTATGTTTTTACTTAAAGAGATAGTTAGACACAAACATTTTATTCTACCATCATCTACTCACTCTCTACTTGTTTCAAACAAAGTTTCTTTTTTCAGTTGAACACAAAATAATTATTTAGAAACCATTGACTTCTATAGTATTTTTTTCTACTATGGAAGTTAAAGGGCACCTATAGTGAAAAATCTCCTTTTCAAGCTGTTTGGACAGACATGTGTGTGTATATAGTGTATAGACCTTCATAATGGGGTGATATAAACACACACAGTCCTTTTTTTTATTCAATTTAACAACATAAACGGTGGACCAACTTTTGTAGGAGAGCGGTCCCCCCGCCTACCAATATTGATTGACAGCCTCGCGTCACGATCATATCCTCAATTTTTTTGTTTCACGTCTGCCATTTTCAGCGTGCGAGTTAAAGCAATATCACTAAAGGAACACCCTTGCTCTATTTTTAGACGAAAGGCTCATTGGGTTCAACACAAGATAAATATTCTCCATGTTATCGCTCTAATCGGAATTATTGCTTGTACCTTTTGTGTGTCGCAGCGCCATGCATTTAGGAGTTCTGGGCGTGGGTTTCTGTCGTGGTGCATGTGGCGGAGCTTCGGGTCGGCGGCTCGGCGACGTTGTGTTTGTTCTAGTAAAAGCCTGTGTTTTAGTTCTGGAATGCGTGGCGCGACGATTCGGGACACTTCATGTTTCTGCCGCGCCACTGAGAGTGTCTGGTGTGCCGTGTCGCGGCGCATTCGGTGCCTCAGTCAAAGTTAATTCAGTGTGTGTGGTTATTAGTCTCGGTGTGCAAGCTCGGCACTTAAATTATAAAATCATATTATTAAATTATAAAATCATAAAAAAAGGGATAAACTATGTGCCCTTTGATGGTTACAGGTTTTCAGCATTCTTAAAAATATCTTCTTTTTGTTCAACAAAAGAAAGAAATTTATAAATGTTTAGAAGGGGGAGTAAAAAAAAAGAGAATACATTTTCATTTTTTGGGTGAACTATCCCTTTAAAACTTCTGTGCAGTTTGTTGTGTGAAAGAAAACTTCTGAAAGCGGATTTTTGTGTATCTACTTCATTACTTCATACTTTTATTTTAAGCAACAATTCACTCTATTAACAAACCCTTCAGAAGCCTTTATTTAAGACTTTTAGCTCAATAAACTACTAATTAGCTTCTTATTAGTTATTAAGGTAGTAATTTGGTTTAGGTATTAGGTAGGTTTAGGGATGTAAAATAAGTACTATTAAACAGTTACTAATTTAATAATAGACAGGTAATACGTCAGTGGTAAATGATGTGAACTTTTACTTCAACTAAACTGTTACCAAAATATATATTAGGAGTTTTAAACTGACAAGGCATTAAGCTTGCAATAACATTGGATGAAATTTTAAATTTTTATAGAAATGTTTACTTTTTAAATATTGGAAGGTTTCTGCTATATCTGGCAGCTCAGAAAATTTCAAAAGAAAACAAGCAGTCAGGTGGTTATACACGAAAATGAGTTTGAATGTAATTAGTTTATCATCATTTAAAGAGACATGCATCAAAACCGGTCGCTGTGAACTGAGGTGTTTGTGACAGGGTAAAAAGGATGTTAATTTACATTACCGCAGGGAAAATTTAAACGAGGTAACTTAAAGAATTCTCATCAACTAGATTTGTAAAAATGGCCATCTCAAATCACCTTTAAAAACTTTCACTCAAGAGCAAAAAATCTGCTTTTGAACTTGGCAGAAATGTACTGTGTGTATATATATATATATATATATATATATATATATATATATATATATATATATATATATATATATATATATATATATATATATGACATTTATTATGATAATTATTGTCAAATAATATTATCAAATGACATAAAAAACTTATTGTGATAACTTTTATGGCCATATGGTGCAGTCCTATTGTGTAGCGTATATTGCACACAAGCACACACTCACCCAGTGTCTCCACTCCTTCTCTCTTCTTACTGGTGGTTTTGGTGCCAAGGTCACAACTGATATGGTAAAAAGTAAAGAGAATATGGTGCTTCTCATGGATATGCACAGGAAGCTCAATTTTTATCTGTTGAAGAAAAGAAAATACTTTAGCATCAAGGTAAACGTGACAGGTTTAATTCAAGTCAACTGTGATAATATCCAAAAGAACAGTGAAACATGTCCTAATGATTACAACTCAACACCTTGGAACAATTAATAACACATCTTTACAGTTTTGCAGAATGACTCTATTAAGGTGCACCTGTCGATACTGGGCTTTTTGGCTTTTCATAAAGTGATTTTGCATTCTAATAAAAAAGAAAACATCCAAAATGCACATTAAAACTGCCCCATTTACAGCACTTTATCAGCTTTATTTGCACATTTCAATTACAATAAATTTACAATACCAAGGCCAATTTCTTAAAAAAATCTCCTGCAAAGTGCCATAAATCTTATAAATAATATTATTTATATATTTATTCTGATGGTTATTACATTGGGATTTGTTCACAGATAAACTGATTGATTAAATGTAAAAAAATGTATTTATTTTCTGGTTATTTACTGTATTCTCTGAATTGTGGAGTGATAAAAAGAGATTCCCAAAACCTCATCACTAAAAAAAAAAAAAAAAACTTTGACTCAAAAATAGTCAAAAATTGTCAAAACTTGAAAACCATTACTTTATTTTTATCCCTATCCTCTTGCAATGTCTTGCTTTAAGATGTCTATCAAGCTGATGACGTCATTAGGCTGTCATCAAGCAAATTATACAATACGCAATGTCTGTGTCAATGTCTTGTGACTCATTCAACTATTGAACAAACAATTAGTCTTTAATATCCCGGCCCGAGGCTCTGGGAAAGCCTAACAGGATTTGTCTCTGGAAGATTCAAATATTCATACGCTTGTCTCGAGAAAGCCAGTGCTTTGTGTTGTTTATAGATCAGTCTGACCAAAAAAGTTGCGTAACATCATGCCAATGACGGTTATGGGTCTCAATATTAAACCCAAGACTGTGCTCTCATACAGTATTAGGAGCTTTTTTTGTTCTAAGAAATATATAAATTATGATAACAGTTTATATTATTAACAATGTACATTATTCATAGATGCATTCAATAATTAAGAGGTTTTTACTAAATGTGTGATTTTAAAAATGTATGAATGCTTATGATAAGGATGTTTTGATCATTAAATCTATTTTGATCATTATCATATCTACCTATTGTATTGTATCAGAAGTCAGATTTATTTTAGGTGTGAGACTATGTTGCTGTGTAGTTGAGGGGAAAAATACACTATATGATAGTGTGTATGATGATTTATGAATATTACCTCGTCATAAAACTCTGGAGATTGATTGTGATGCAAAACTGCAGCAAAAGCACTGGTGGTGAATAGTGGATCCCCTGGCTTGCCGTAGATGCACTAAAAGCAAAACAGTGGTTTGTAAAATTCACTATACAAATACATAAAACTATACTGATTATTAAATATTAACTAACTGTGGAAACAACATTGACGGCAGTTGAATATGATCACGGATTTACCTTTAGTGGGCTTGATCCCTCCTCATCAGAATCCTTGAATTGAACACACACTGCAATGTTTCGAGCCTAAGAGAAAACACAAACATTATAAAAATAATTCATATACTAAATGCTTCAACAGAACTGCTGTACTTTTCCTTTATTAAAGCTGGAAAAGATGTAAAATTTTAAATGTCTTGAATGTAAAACATAAAATGTAATCTAGATGTAATACAGTTTTTCGTTTGAAATTGTAGTTTTATAAAGTACTATAAAGTTTTCTAAGTGGAAAATGACATGGTCTAGTGGGTTGTCCGCTGGTTTTGGACGGCAGGGGTGGGACTGTTTCAAAGATATTACACTAACCGGCTAGCATTTTGGCAGATCACCTACTGCACCTTAATGTATCTGCAAGCAAGCTAATGTTTAATTATTTCAGCCCTCACAAGAGAACATTTTCTTCAATCTTTAATAACCTTGTTCTGTTAGACGTAAAAGGAAACTTACTTTGTCGAAGGCCTTCTGACTGTCATATTTGAGCTGCTGAGGATAGATGTAGAGGTGGTTGTTGTAGATGGTGAACGGGTGGTTGAATCGAGCCTCTTCCGGGACAAATTCCTCCACTTCCACCGACACGCTGTCACACTGATCCGCAAATGGCTTTACGGGAATGTAAGACGATGTGACAGAGTCTGTGAAGATGACGATGTATACAGTTGAAGTCAAAATTATTCGCCCTCCGGTGATTTTTTTTCTTTTTCAAATATTTTCCAAATGATCTTGAACAGATCAAGGGATTTTTCACAGTATTTCCTATAATATTTTTTCTTCAGGAAAAAGTCTTATTTATTTTTTATTTCTGCTAGAATAAAAGTGTTTTTTAATTTTTCAATTTTTTTTAAGGTCACTATTATTGGCCCTTTTAAGCAGTAAATTTGCTTATTTACCTTATTTTGCCTAATCAACCTAGTTAAGCCTTTAAATTGCATTTTAAGCTGAATACTAGTATCTTGAAAAATATCTTGCACAGGGTTTCTGCCAAGTTAAATTTAAGACTTTTACTTGCCCCATTAAAATTAAAACTCAGAGATTTTAAATAATATGTCTAAACAGATAAAACTCAGATATTGTAAATAATTTGTCGAAACAAAAGAAACAAACTCCAGCTATGTATACACACACACACATATATATTTTTCTTTTTTTAAGTTTAAAAAACTATAATGAACTAAATGCACAACATACATTTATGCATACATGTATAACTTGTAAACAAATGTTATAGTAAGGATGTAAGGATGATAATTAAATGGAGTTTACAAATTTTATTTATTTATTTTTTAATAGATTGTTGGTTGTAGCAGTTGGGTAGCTTTACATTGACAAAGAGAAATTCAGATCTGTTAAAAACTATTTATGACATACCATAACACCATATTGCAGTGAATTTAAGATTTTTAAGGCCTAAATTTAAGATATTTTAAGACTTTAAGACCCTGTGGAGACCCTGCTAGTAAAATATTATGTTCTATCATCATAGCAAAGATAAAATAAATCAGTTAAACTATTTATAATCCAAACTATTACATTTTCTTTCCAGTAAACAGAAATTAAGGAAAATACACAAGGGGAAAATAATTCAGACTTCAACTGTATTTAAAACATTTTCATAAATAATGTGCTTTAAATAATTTTGTGAATTAAAAAAAAACTTAAAACTTACATCTTTGCCATGATGACAGTAAATAATATTTAACTAGATATGTTTCAAGACACTTCTAAACAGCTTAAAGTGACATTTAAAGGCTTATATATATCGTATAATAAACCCTGCAGTGAAGTAAACGCTTCAATGCTTTCTAGATTCTGAAAGTGATCATGCAGATATTCAGTTATCAATTATTAAATGCAAATGAATTAAAACAACAAGCAGACTCACTTGACAAGTCTGGAGGTACACATTCAACAGTGATGTTAATTTGTCCAGGGATTATCTGCAGTTTGTTCTTCTCTGGTCTGTGAAAAGAAAACATGTCTCTTAAAAAAAACACTGTATGCAATAAACTGACTGACAAAGATATACAAAGTCGATTGATGACAAGGATACATCATTCCCAATAACTAATTTTAAAAAAGCAGGCACAAGAAGACTAAGTCAGAAATAAACTTTTTTCTGTTAAGAAGCATTTTTATTATTTAGAATGCAATATTTAGCTTTATTAAAGTAATTTTAATACATTTTAATACATTTTAATGCATTTGTGCCATCTTTTCTATAAGATACTCTTTGTAACAATCACCAGTGATCTAGGCTATGCAGATCACTGAAAAATATGCACCCAGACTACAATTCTGCCACTGAATAAATTAATTAATTTTTTTTCTTTTAGTCTTAGTCCCTTTATTAATCCGAGGTCGCCACAGCGGAATGAACCGCCAACAGGGGCGGACTGGGACAAAAATTCAGCCCTGGCATTGTAGCCACATCAGCCCACATTACCACACCGACACAACCCACCCACGGACACAGACATTTACTATTTATTTTGGTGTACAGATGGTGAAATAATATGACATTCTTGCCGGATTTTGATTATGTCCGGGTAACCTCGGATTGGGTCGGCCCATCTTGAAATCAGGCGGCCGTCACCAGTTGGGCCAAATGCTTAACATTTATTATTATTATTTTTATTATCATCATCATAATATCACATCTAGCAAGACATAAAAGCTGCCTGCACGTAAGAACAATACATATTAAAAAAAAAAAAAAACTGACCGGCCCACATTTAAAAATTGGTCCGGCCCTTCTGGCATTTGCCAGAATTGCCAGATGGCCAGTCCGCCCCTGACCGCCAACTTATCCAGCAAATGTTTTATGCAGCGGATGCCCTTCCAGCTATACTGTTCAAACTTTATATTCAATCCCTCTGCCTCATCCTAATCCTTAACCCAACACTCACAGGAAACAATTTGTACTTTAACATTTTCAGAAATCTTTATTTTGTGTGAGCAGCTTTCCTCATAGGAACCAAAAAATGTGCCCACTAGGTCAAAATGGATTGATATTCCTATACTTGTGGGGACAATTGCGAAACATAAGGAATACAAACAACAAACCCACACACACACATAAACATGTAAAATGAAATCAGATGCAATGTGTGCAGATCATAATATATATTATATAAAATATATATTTATTTCTACATTACACTGTAAATGCATGATAGCTGTAATGATTATAATTATAATATAGATATTATAACTTACTTCTTGAGATCTGTCAACAGTTTGATGAGGTCTTCTGTTGATATCTTGCTACTGTCTTGACGGTAGAGTGGAGAAAATTTGCCATCCGTGTCTAAAGTGCCTTGGGAATCTTTAAACACCTGCCTGAAGTACAACACAAATATCCTCATCACCAAAAATCTACTTTATAACACGCAAACATGTAATAATCACCAGATAATTCCAAAGAGCAAGACTGCGACAATTCAATGTAAAAGACACATAAACTGAACTTAAATACTTAAAACTGAAATTAATTCATGAAAGTGAATGGAGGAGTGATTTTCTGCCTTACTTGGCAGCCCAAGCGAAAGGCATCCGGTATTGGCCCAGCCGTTGGCATGTCTGCTTGGCAGTCTTCAACACTTTCTGTACCGTCTGAGAAACAGGCAGATAGAAAAAAACAGAAATATTCAACCCAACATTCTGAAAGCACCTAAATCAGAATTAATAGTTCCAATACTGATTCTGGTCAAATGCATACATTACTAGCTAGTCTGAAAATATGACAATCTTCAAATGTGATTTCTTTTAACAACAGTAAATTTTATTAGACACATTTCAGAACATATTTATTTAGTAAACTTAACAAACAAAGGCAGTTCTGTAACTATATATACATTATACATTTAGCTCATTTTAACCCATTTGTCCACAAATTTAAATGAAAATATTGCATCCTGTACTCCTCTCTAGGATTTATTGTTATTGCAGATAACTTCAAATGGATCCAATATTGGACAATATATATCAGCAGCCAATACTTCAGCGCGTCTCTAGATAAAATGCATCCAAAATGCAGAGGAGTACAGGATGCAATATTTTTTATTTCAATTTATAGACAAACCAAACTTTTGGGTTTTAATTAAAATATAATTAGAAAACATTTGTCCAATGTTGGGTTTGTCTAAACCCAGCATTTTTAGAGTGTATAAAGATGTACTTAGAATGACCCTATAATTTTAAATACACTTACAAATTCAAAATATATTGAAAAAAAACATACAATTTTTTTATTGAATTTAAAATAAAGTTAAAAAATGTTGTAAAAGCAAGAGTGCAAAACCTTAAATATATATCTCAAATACTGATTTTACGCTACTAAACTAACTAATGAATAAACTAAACTAAAAGTAATAAGTTACCTTTTAGAAAAAATATGGTCTTTCATTTTTCATTTCAACAATAAAAATGATTTCAAACAAATCCAGATATGTACATGTGCATCTCAGAGCAACATTGTGTCGTTTTGCTGATGAACAGCGGCATTTAGTACTTTTTTAGTGCTTTACAGTTGGAGTTAAACCAGTATTGTATCTTGCTGTTGGGTTAGGCTGTTTCATGTCATCTTACTGTTTTATGTCATTTTGCTTTTTTCTTTTTGTCTCAAAATAACACATTCATAATTTAAAAAAAGATTTGTTACTGTCAATGCATTTAATCCGCCAAGTACTGACGTCTCTGTTTTTGTTATGTTGAGATGTTATCATACAAATCTACTGATATGTTGTTTACTTACATTTTCAAGCAACACATAAACTTAAAAAAAAAATCTATATGAAGTGCCACAGGAAAACATACAAACTAATATGAGTAAAATACACTTGTAAAAAAAGGATGACTACAAACAACTAAGTAAAAGATACAAACAATGTACCTTTTACATGCTGTAACTCAAGATAAAAAAAATACTAATTTTACTTTTCTAATTTACTTTTACTTAACTAACTTTACTTTGCTTTTTTCAGTGCACTAAGCAGCTTGTTGGCGTTGCACAGTTCTCTATTTGAGGCGAAAGACGTCATGCCTAAGAAGTGTTTTTACAGTCCTCTTTGAGCATGTGTTTGTTATTGTACTGTGTGTGATTCAGCATCAGACCTTGCTGATGTCGGAGGGCTTGATGTAGGGATCAGCGCAATGAGTGATGCCGTTCTGCAAAACCTTCTCCACTCGGGCCAACAGGAAGATGTCAGCGTGAGGGTTTGTGACGGAGAAAATACCCTGCAGAACACAAAGAAAACATGGTCACTGTAAAGATAAAAACTAAAAAGATTGAAAGATTTTTATTTAAAGATTATCAGTTCAGTATATTTATTCATCCAAACTTTATTACAGACTCAAAGTCTGATTAAAAACAAAAAAAACTTATTCCATAACATTTAAGAAACAAAATACAGCAATACCAATGTCTCCACAACTTTAACTGATAGTGTGTACTACCCCTAGCGTGTACCATCTCTTTTATAGTTGAAGGGATAGTTCACACAAAACTGACAATTCTGTCATTGTTTATCCCCCTTTACTTTTGTCATAACCTCTTTGACTATTTCTTCTGTTGAACACGAAAGAAAAATAAAATAGAAGAAAACTGTATTTGTTTTTCCTAATATGAAAGCGAATGCTTAAAGGTTTTCATCTTTCTTCAAAAAATCTTCTGTGTTCAACAGAATAAAGAAACTCACAAGTTTGGAATCATTGAGGGAGAGTAAACAGTGAGTAAATGTTCCTTTTTATGTGAGCGCTCCCTTTAAGTCATTGAGATAAATGGGGAAGTCAGAGAATGGTTTAGAAGATAAATGATTTCCTGATTTGTTGCTGGGTAATAAAGAAAACAATAATAAGCCAAAATATGAAACAGGTACAAGTCAATAGTAATACTAGAACTATAATAACTTTAATCTTACAAAAACTGATAAATGCTGAATTAAGAAATTAATAAAATAATCATTTCCATAAGAGGTTAAGCAAGCTAGTATAATCATCTGCCACTGGTTTGAACCTCATGTTATAAGAAAAATAAAATAATAGTTATAAACAGCAATATTAATAGTAGTGTTAGTAGCATAGACTGCAAAAGATATGGACATGGAAAAGTAAAAAGCAAAAAAAAAACAAACATGTGTAAAGCAAAAGTATACTCTTGTAGGGTTTCGGGGAGAAAATCGTCTATGCCTGGAGATGCACCATGCAGGCATACTGTAGGGTTGGCCATCATACACTTTCCAGTACTAGGCTGAGCAGATTTCTTCTATTCTTTTTAGATGAATTTAGAATTTACGATTTAGAAAAGGTCAATAGGGTGGAAAACCTGTTTTTTTAAGAGTCCTGTCAACTTTGACCAATTTATAGGCCTACTGTATACTATATTAAAGCAATGATTGCTTAGAGATCAGTAAAGAAATGAGTGTTTCCACATTTGGGGAGTGTGTGTGTGTGTGTGTGTGTGTGTGTGTGTGTGCGTTGTAAACAAACTACAAGCATAGATGAACACAATAAAACTAAAATAAATGTGAAAAAAACTATTGCGGATGTACGCATTGTAATATCGATGCTCAAATGATATATTGTGAAGCCCTAATATATACATACTATATGTATATATATTGTAGCGAGTATACCGGTGCCACGTCGCCCTGGTCAAGGATTCACCCCAGCTGGCACCTCATCAACACTGGATCGATCTCAGCTGGAGCTAATCAAGAGGAGACACACATAA